ACCCGACAACTGGGAAAGGGTGACGAAAGAAAGACGGATGTGGATGTGGATTATGACTATGTAAATGTTAATGAAATGCAGCGTGAAGAGTGCTTTTCAAACTTCTGAACCGAAACATGATGAAAAGAGACGACAAGAAGTCGTCAAATTTCAGAAATAATAGCATGAGAGCGAGGGCGCCTCTGTAAGCCCAGTGAGGGCACCAGGGAAGGTGACGAGTCGACGTCGAACCCGTTGCCACAGGCGCCGCGTGCCGGCCAGTCAACACCACAGAGCGAGCAGTCAGACAGGGGGCGACCAGTGCTGGAACTTCCATTAATCACTGCTGGTGGGGGCTCTCACCATTTTTCACTGCCATTGGTCCAATACCGGGCGGCAGACGGACAGACGGAGGGTGTCTCCCTCCACCCCTCCCCACCCGTCTCCAGCGTCACCCACCAGCCACTGCCCTGCCGCTGCCGGCGCGGTAACTAAGTGCATAACGGTTGCGGGCCGTCGTCCAGACCCGGTGTCACCACGGCCGGCGCCGGTGTCACCGGCGCCATTAGCGGCCGGTCCGACTCCGGCCGACCGGGACGTTCATTAGGACTGTAATTACCACCTGAATCGATGCTAAAGACGGTGATAACCGAGCGCCGACAATAAATCATTGATACGACCTGTCTCCTCGGGAATACGGCATGAATGGCGGCGCTGCTGTGGCGGCGCGGCGTTGGCGGCGGTCCTGTGGCGATAAGCGGCGCGCCCGCTGCCGGCGGACCATGACGCGGTGCTGTGACAGGCGGGCGGGCGACGGCGGCACGTGATACGGCTCTGTGAGTGCCGGCTAGGGCTGATAATCCCGGGATCGGGATCCCGGGATCCCGGGGTTGTATTAATCCCGAATCCCGGGATTAGAAGCATCGGGATTTCGGGATCCCGATATTTTCCGTACAGAAACATCGTTCATAAAGTGTAGCTGATAGTAGGTATGTAAAAAAAGGTAAGTGAGTAACAACGCATTACAGTGCAGTTTTATGTCCAAAGATCTTACTTACGCCGTGCAAAGTCGTTATGCACAAGTATTGGTTACATATATACCTAATTGACATTGTTTCACACCGTCTCAGCCTTCACAATGTGGCGAGAGACGAGCTCTCTCTCGGCTCATCTCTCGCTCCCCGCGACGTCCCTCGCGTACTCGGTTTAAAGGGACCCTCCCACCTTAACATTAGTTTTGAGTTGAGATAGCCAAGTTTGCGGCCAGGCTCAGAAACCACCATTTATCCTGGTCGCAACCCCCGCAGCTTTATGGTGTTCAAGAAATTTCTTCTCTTTACTTGCAGGGTGGGACCAGCGTGGTCCCTATCTCTTAACCATTACGGGAATCTGATGACGTCATCAGGCTTTCGAACGTCCGTTAAATGTTTGACTAAAACGTTTTGTAGCACGCGGTGGTACATGCTGCTTTGCGCGTAACAAATGCCGCACTTTCAAATAAAGTCGCTAGGAACAGCGGAGATCCCAAAAAGTAAACAAAAGTAAAAGTCTAATATCTTGAAAACCGGTGAATATTTTTCGATGAAATTTGGTAGATATTCGTTTTTGCTCTTTCTGAACCGAGCGACATCACTTTCATGGCAATTCATTAACTTTTTTGAAGGTGGGAGGGTCCCTTTAACAGATCATTTTGCACGATGACATACTATGCCGACTATCGAATTCGAGTCCATCGAGTGGGAGGAGGTCGGCCGTCTTCTCTGTGTGACTATGGGAGCACGTCTGGTGGCTCAGTTACTGTCAGTGCCCCGTGGCTGGACGATCCATGAGGCTGGCCGGGCGCCCTGGGCATGGTTACCGTTAGTGAATAATTATTAATTACGTGCCTTTGTGATAAGCTATAGCTAACTTTGCCAAAATGTCGGATTTTGCTGAATTTAATTGCATGTAAACTGCATGTAAACGCGATTGCATGTAAACTGTCTGATGCGTTGAAACAGCGCATCCGGCAGAGACGGTCACGTGCTGCTAAAGTCCTACAATCGCTCCATAACAAAATGTCGGCAGACAGAGACTGGAAAGATATTTTTCCTAGTGCCTCTCGCAAGGAAGCACAGGACTTAGTTGTTCACGTGATGGAAAGATTGGGAGAACAGATGCATGATACCGAAGTAGGTGTAGATACAGAAGTGATGGACGCTGATGATCCTGAATCAGCGCCGTCTCTTCAGTCGATGCTTCAACAAGCTCTAGATGAGGTTAGAGCTCCAGAGCAAGGCACCAGTTCATGCCCGTCTGGGATTAACTTTTAGCAATCTTCTCTGATGATGACGAAGGCCATAAGGAAAGAATTGGAAAATTTACCTATCTCAGGAAGGACAGGCATGGTAGCGCTGTCCTACAACTGGCTGAAGGGCATAGTTCCTACGAGTGTTGAATCGGAACGAGTGTTTTCCACTGTCGGGAATATCGTCACAAAAGTGCGGTCGAGTCTCGGCGACGAAGTCGTTGATGCACTTTGCTTCCTCAAGTGCTACTACCGTAACAAGTGAATGTGACCAGGACATGCTGCTGGTCAGACGACCACAATCCGTAGGCACGTCTACTGTATCCTGACTCGAAATATAAACAAGAAATACAATGATCAATGTCATTCATGCTCTTATATTTGTTCGGGGTGAAGGTGTATGCCTGGTATTGTGTTTATGAGTAGTAAAGTAATCTTGGTGTTTATGATGGTAAGGATGCGCCATATACCGGGTGTTCCGAAAAAAGTGTCACGATTTTAGTCACGTGCGATTTCCGTAAAAATTGTCCGAAATAGTTTGGCTTAAGATATGCTGCTCACAACCCTTGTCGATTTTGGTGGACAAAACGGTTCACCAAAATCTACGATGGTTTTCTCGCCAGAACAAAAAATCAAAATCGTCCGATTATGGTTCGAGACGAAATCGTACGTCACCGTCCGCCGCCGACTTCGACGCGAGTGTGACATGGAAACTCGAGATCTGCCCTGCAACAAACTCATTGCAAGGTTTGTTAACCATTTTGAGACAACAGGTTCAGTCCTGAATACTCACAGGGGCAGCAGCGGCAGGCCAGCATCGGTTTCAAAGTCCCCAGAGACCATCGCGGCCGTGCGAAATTCCGTCATTGCCAGTCCCAAGAAGTCGCTCCGTCGACGCTCTCAACAGCTCGGACTTGCTAAAACCAGCGTAAGACGCATCCTATGCGACGAGCTAAAACTGTCATCGTACATAATATCCACCAGACATAAGATGACGGATCGGGACAGGCAAAAGCGGCAAGTCATGTGTCAATGGATCTCCAACAAGATGGAGAGGAACGCGCGGTGGGTGAACCGAGTCTGGTTCTCAGACGAGGCTCACTTCCACCTGAACGGTGCGGTGAACAACCACAACAACACTTTCTGGGGTAACTCACCACCGGAAGAAGTAACGGAGAAGCAGCTGAAGGGCCCGAAGGTCACTGCCTTCGTGGCCTACAACGCCACTCACGGCCTCCTCGGTCCCTACTGGTTCGAAGAAGATGGCCGGACCGTCACCATCAATGGCGAGCGCTACCGCGAGGTCATCCGGGAATTCTACGCGGATCTGACCGATATGCTCACCGATAACCAACTGCAACAGGCATGGTTCATGCAAGACGGAGCTCCGCCTCACACTGCGCGTGAGAGTATCGAATGCCTTAAGGAGCTGTTCAACGCTCGCCTCATGTCTCTCGGCACCGCCCATGAGTGGGCTCCCCACAGCCCTGATCTCAACCCGCTAGACTTTTGGCTGTGGGGGGCTGCCAAGGACACTGTGTACGCAGGCAAGCCCAAGACACTGGTCCAGCTTAAGCAGAACGTCGAAAGATACCTGCATCAAGTCGGTCCCGAGACTCTGACGAAAGTCGCTGAGAGTTTCCAGGCCAGAATCAAGGCATGTCTCAACCGCGGTGGTGCCCATATCGAGAACGTGAACTACAAGAAGTTCGCGTAAACTTGTGATCGCAGGAACTCCTCTGCCCTCTGGCAAGGAGTTATAGCACTGATACGAGAGTAACCTTGTTGAAAAACGACAAAGATAAGCAAGTAATAGCCTTTGGCTCATTGTATAATAGACAAAAGAAATGGAAAAGAATATATGTGCGATATTTCGTGTTCGACACGAAATTGTTTTCCATTTCTTTTGTCTATTATACAATGAGCCAAAGGCTATTACTTGCTTATCTTTTAATAATAATGGGGCTCATTTTCAAAGAAACCCTCAACATCATTGAAAAACGACAAACGTGAGCTTTCATATGGTGTATGTTTTAATGCGTTAATACTTGTCAAGCGTTTATAATACACGTTTGGAACTGTGACACTTTTTTCGGAACACCCTGTACATACGATATTGCAAGAAAATTCTGCTTTGTAGACAGGTTAAAATAAAAACTGTTCAATCCCGGGATCCCGGGATATCCCGGGATTGCATTTCTAAAATCCCGGGATCCCGGGATTGCCAAAAAGTCCCGGGATTATCAGCCCTAGTGCCGGCCGAGCTGCAGCAAGCCGACACGCAGCCACGTCAGGCTAGCGGCCGTCGCAGGCGACACGGCACGGGGGTCGGCACGACTGCACTGGACGTCAGTATTTGCTGCCATCCGCCGCCCGCTGCCCACCGCCGTCGCTGCCACTGCCGCCATGGGGCGTACCGGGTAGAATCGGCGTTCCAGGTGTTAAAGAGTGCAGGTCGCGCCAAGCTGAATTATGAGAGAATAAAGAGAAATTATATAAAGAAAGCAAAACTAGTCACTAGTGAGCCTGGATCACGGCGGCTTAAACATTTGAGAATGGTTTATTAAACATAGAAGATACAAAATCTATGCATCTTCGACCTATTTGAAACTTTATCAGGATAACTTAAAAGAATGATAAATGCTGACGCTCGGGCTCGATAGATAGCCTTTTGCTGTGAACCTTGATGCGTTTTTTCCTCGCGCCATAAGGTAACAGCTGCGTTTCTTTTCAGAGGTTACCAGCTGGTGATTCTGCTGGCTCCATACTCTGAATGTTCCACCTCACCTCGCAGGATCTGCTAGCATGCTAGTGGTGAGTAGTTTGCCACTTTGCCCCATGCGTGGGGAATGCTGGGCGTTAGGTAAATCACAGCGCGGCATTCACTGCTGTGGTATGCTTCAACAGTGTTATTAGCTCTATGTTTATCGGCGCTTAAATTAGTGGTTCTGAGTTTGAATTGTACTTGCCTAGTTATTACCACAGGCGAGTGCTAACATTGAGGTTGACTGAGTTGAAAAATAGATTGAATGTGCAAATCCGACCGAAATGCTTTACCTTGAAATTCTTATACAAATAATTGGAATAAATCACTGAAATAACTGCTGTTACCTTAGAAAGACCGGCAAATGTAAACGTATGTGTAGTAGAGAAGAACGTTTTGATAATAGCGCCTATTTTTTACTTGATTCTACACGTATGATATTTATGTATATTTTATATTTATTTGAATGTTTGGGTATAGGTTTTCCCTGGGTTTGCTTGGTCAGAGGGGGTAAACAGTATATGTACACTAAGAACCCTAATAATTAAACAATAACTTTTGCGCTGCTCTAATGTTGCAATACTTTCCCACAGCAATATGTAAGGCACTCTTTTCCTTGCCGCAAACAAGAAAAAAACAACAACATTAAACCTAATCACCTATTGACGGATGAACCTCAATAGACTCATCCAAGATTACTACAACATAAGGTTGGACAGATCGTGACGTCACGGGGGCTTGGTATATTTATTTAGTATTCAACTAGACAGCCCTAGTTAAAACTATATGGAAACGAGAGCTTTTTCGTCATGTTTCAAACATCTGATTTTATGAAAGTAACAGCCGGAAATTCAAAATAGCATTAAATGCACAAGTTTTGATATTTGACGCAAACAGATCATGTAAATGAGAACAAAACAATTTAGGATAATACTAGCTCAGGTATACTGGGATAAACTATAATTGCCAGATTTCCCCAAGTGGTGCAGCTGCGACATTCATATTCTGTAAAAATAAGCAATGCTTCATTTCATGTGCTTGTATGTGTCTCTGTTGCAGAATTTATAAATTTGTTCACCAATATTATAGCAACATTCAGGATAAGTTCGAGGGGATCCGGAGTATTTACAAGCGCGAGCGTGCACTTAATTTTTATTGTTTACAGCACGGTTCAGATGTTCAGATCACCCTTGTCACTTAGGTACTTTTCTCATATTATCTCGATTGCTCGAATATTGCAAACAACAATAAAGTCATTGTCATTAATATGAAAGAGCCGTAGAAGGTAACCATTTTATTTTGATAATACGCATTAAATCAAATACATGACACTTAAAAGTCTCGCACAAACGCAGGCAGCAAGGCAAGGAAGCAGTTTACTTTTGTGAAGTGGAAAGAAAACAGAAGAAAAAAGAAGCCAGTCAATCTTATTTTAAACCCAGCAGTATATACCGAGCTTCGGGAAACTGTCGGAAGTCGTGGAAGGTGACGCTCAAGATTATTGAAGAAAGTGCCGCTAAGCTTGCGAGTAATTCTAGTACCACAGCGAGGTCCCCTGACCTCTTCCTTCTAGCTGCAATTTGCTACGCATCGGGGAGCCACCCACCGAGGTAGAAAAGGACACACCACGAGCGTTTCCAGGATTGACTGGAAGACTTACTGGAGCCCAATACACCAGTAAAACGCCTTTTGGGCGACCAACGGAGCGAGCGAGAGGATGGGCCTTGCACGTGCGAAATTGCGAGGGGGTACCTCCAACTAACTTGTGCACTGCACCCTACTAACCGGTCTTTAGCGATGTGCCAAATTTCAGCGCAATCGGCCTAGCCGTTCTCGAGATCTGGAAGCGGCACACTGCACGTGCGCACGTGCAAGCGGGGTCCAAACTGACTTTTGCACGGCACCCTACTAACTGGTCCCCAACCGTGTACCAAATTTGAGCGCAATCGGCCCAGCCGTTCTCGAGATCTGGGAGCGCCCCCTGCACGTGCGCACGTGCTGTAGCACCCCAACCTTAACACATGCAGATGAATTATCTGATGGAGACCTAACTGTGTACCGAGTTTCAATTCAATCGGCCCAACGTTGTGCCGTTATTGAGGTTGCAATTTTGGGTGTTCTTAAAAAATGTCCAACTTTACCACGCGCCACGTGCGGTGGTTGGCACGAACGCATGGTGGCCATCACACCACAGAACTTTTACGTCCAAGTGACATTCAGTAAAGAAGACCGCTTGTCAATCGGATGTCCCGTTCCTAAGATATTAGCTTTTGAAGAGCGTCCCCACGGCCGGCCGGCCGGCCGGCCGGCCGGCCGCTCATACTCAGAATTTTCCCTTAATTCAGTATGAGACTCCGCTCGCTTCGCTCGCTCCGTAATCATCTTTGCGCAAAACAACTACGAAGATCGAAATGGCAACCCAGAACACCCCAAAGCCACCTCTTTAATCCGCGCTGTGCTAGTGGTCTGAATTTTCTAGTAAGTGCTGGATGGAGTGGGCGTTTTCACGCCCCTGTGTTTGCTTCTAGGCCACCTAACGACACGTGGTGAGCGGCATTCGTCATAGCGTAAAAAAAAAATCCTGAAAAAAATGCATCCGTCTTTTTTGTTTGTCAAGTCAAAGGTCAGGTCACCAGAAATCGTCGAAGTTCGCGTATTTGAACAATTTCGACAAACTGGCGCATGACTCGGGCATGTTTAGTTAGATCTACAGTGACGCAAAAAGGTGCATCCAATAGCTCCTTTAACGCTCTTTTTGGAAAAGCTCTCTGATTTGACCTAAGCATTCACACTCAAGGCAAACATAAACCCGCGCCCGGGTGGGTCTCTCAGACTTCTCCACTGGTAGAGGGGGGCCTTTTTGGCCACACCAGGTTATCTCCAAAAGTAAGCAAGCTAGTAAGACGCGGTAAAAAGCAATAGAAGCTGGCTATAAAATCTTTCAGAATTGTTATGGTCATTTTTTTATCAGGTCATCGCTGAGGTAACTGGAGGTCACGAAATGTAAAATACCTGCCTATTCATGCATTTTTGTTCCCGATTTTGACAATTTTTCACAAAGCGGATAATGCAAGCTGACTCATATACCGAATCGCGATTTCGTCGAAGCACGGTCTTGAGAAATAGTAATAGTTCACAGGACAAGGCTCATTTGATATAATTTGATCTCGAAAGATCATTTTGGAAATTTGGCTTAAGGTCAAGATGATGGCCTAACTAGAAAAGATAAGGTCATGCTGCATATCAGTCGATCCGTGTTGTCGAGCTGAGTAAATCTAATGGGTTTTCACTCTTCTCATAGCACTAGCATGTTTGCATGGGTCACGGCTGCAATTTGCCGATTGAGTGTGTCATGTTATCTTTCATTCGATGTTTCATTCGAATGTTTAGTTGACTTTGGTCCATAGGAGTCTTAATCTTAGGCAAGGACAAGGTCAATTGGCGTGACCGAGTGACCTGACCTTAAGCGACTCGGGTTATTGTGATTGGCTTGATGTCGTTGTGTTATTAAATGTCCAATTTAGCTTATCTAAACAAAAAAAAGCAAAAAAAAATAAATCAAACCAAAAAATGCCAGAAACAAAAACCGATACATCGAGCCCAAAAGCGAAAAAGAGTCCGAAGAAAAAAGACTCAAAAGTCTTCAATGGAGCCGGAAAATTTGCGATTGGTTGCTGACGGACTTGCTGACGAAACGTCGTCCGTCGATCGTTTGCGAGAGGTGTCCCCTCCACTTCCGGTTGCTAGGGACTCTTGGTTGCTATGGCTTACGTCACCAAGGCTTGAACTCCTTTGCCAGATAAGATTTGGTGGGGGCTGGACTCATCATCAATCACTGCACCTACCGCGGAAGCGGCACTCAGTAATGCAACAAGGCTTCTTTAATGCATTACACAGCCGTTTTCCCCACCCTTGCCGGGTTTCCGTGCGGCCGGTCATTAGTTGCCGCAATGAGTTCCTCCATCCCTTCTGCTCGCTCCGGGGCGCGGTGCCGCGGCCTCCATCTAATTTATACCTCCCCTTCTCGTTCTATCAAATCCGTCATGATTGCCGCTGTGACGGCCGGTCCGCCTCGGCAGAGTTCCTCTAATCGGACAGCGCCCCGGCGCCCTCCTCTCACGTTGCACGTGCCAAATAGCGGCGGCTCATTTGGTGCTCATCCAGCGATGTCGCCGGTCCGGGGCGCTGCCTGCGAGCGACCCGCGCCGCTCTCTCGATGGCACTGATAACGTCAGCGGCATTCAGCGCGTCACGCGGCCGCCGGCGGCGGGTTCATCGTGCCCTGTCTCGGCACTGGCTCCATCGAACCCCCTCCAATCACGGCAGAGATCATATTGACTGTCGTCGTTCCGGCGACGCCCGTCGACAGCTCTTGACACCAGCATCACTTCGCACGCTATTCAGGGCGGAAACGTAGCCCGCCACGTGCGATAGCTATCATGGGCGTCCCGGAGACGGTGGCTCTTGATTGAGCTCGCTCATCCGCCAAAGCCGGCCCGTGAGAGTTGCGCGGGAGCGGGGCCGTCGGGCCGGCTCGCCGGTCAATCCATCAGCGGATGGTGCGCGTCCCGGCGGCGGCCGCTGGCCCCCGGGGCACCGGCGTCCGCCCCCGTAACTGCACCTCATCTGCCGATCTGCCGCCTGTCTGATCAATACAGCTACAAATACAGGCGCTGCCGGCGGCGGCGTCCTCGGTCCTCCGCGCTCCCGAGGGAGGGGGCCTGTCGCACCCGGCGCCGGGAGTGTCGCAGGTCGCGCGGACGGGTCGACGCGGACGCGGCGCCGAGGTGGCTGAGACGGGAGGCTGGCGGAGTCTGTTGGCGTGAGAGGAGCCGAACAGATGCTCCATTAGCCACTTAACGGGATCAGGGCGGCGGCATCCGGCGTGACACGCGCGCGCGACTGCCGAGCTGCGCTGTCCCTGGGCCGGCCTCTGACGTCTCGATTCTGTCGCTCCGCCATTCCGACTCCAGATTCATCCTTCCTGTGTGGCGTTCTCGGCGTCCCTGGGCCTTGCCGTAGGCAGCTCTGTCGTCATGCTGCTGAACTC